ATAATTTGTCTTATTTTCGTGCAATGACATATAGAAAGTCCAAACTACACCAAACCATATAAATTCTATCATAATTGCTAAAATTACAATTTTCAACGATTTCCGATTACACTAAGTAAATATTGAATTCCACTCAAGAGGATCTACGAGCAAATAAAGTTTGAGAAACCCTGCTGTACCATGGTTCGCTTAGAAAATCTCATGCGATTACCTCACGATATTTTCTCCCGGGGAAATCTCACAGCGTACTCAACCACTTATTGCCCACTTTGAATATTAATTCATTCCAACCGAGAAATGATTTTTTCCCCGAAAAATTAATAGAGGTCGAAGACCTCCAGTAGTCAATTTATTTAGAACAGTTTCTCCATCCTATAAATCGCCGCTAGGTTTAGTATCAGCTGCCTAAGAATGAATCAACGCTTGAGTTTGCTAATTACGGATGCCGATACCCCTGATTAGAAGAAAATTGAGGCCTTGGTGTGCGTGCACGCGAAACCGATACCTCGTAGAGGAAGCCGATAGGCGACTTCTTTCGCGACACGAATGAAACCGGCGGTACCTGTAAGCCGCGCGAGAGCACGACCGCCGGTAACGGTTTCCCCCATTCTAATTAACATTCCGCGTATTTATTAGACGCGGATCTGCAATTAATCAGGCGGATTCAATTAGCGAATTACCAATTAGCACGCACGCGTTCACACGCTCTCGGACACCGCTTGAGATCCTGTTGGACGATTGCGGGATATGATCGCGGGAAATGTTTGTAACGCCATCGCGGAGGACGCGTTTCGACGATTCCGAAGACAGTTTTCTTTCGTGACGTTTACTAGGAACGCTTGGAATTCAATAGAGAGTGACAAAATGAAACGTGGTTGATGCCTGAGTGGAGCTATCTTGCATACTAAGTAAATTATCGTTGCGTGACACTTGAGAGTAGTATTGACATCTACTATTTCTATTCAGGATTTTTGATGAATTGAAGATTGGTCAGGGATGAGGAATTACTCCTTCTTTGTAATTAAATGGAAATGTTAAATTTCTTCTGTTTCGTGTCTAGTGAATATTCTAGTTTTTGTTATGAAACTCAAGAAGATAACTTGAATAATGATATTTAACAATAAATGAAAAATGATTTCAAGTATATTCATCGATAACTCCATCAATATAGAAAATAATTATTGTTATTCTTGAAGGAGCAACTATAACATCGAAATAAATTGTTTGGTCGAATTTGCGTTAAACTATGAAGGAATAATTATATTTCGTCACTGACACTGTTAACGATTAAATGTTTCATTAATTTTCCTCCTGGAGTTTTCTTCGATGATTTCATAACTACTACGAGTGCGCTAAAATTCAGTAGACAATTTAGAATAATAATATTCGTTCGTAGATAGTGAAAATTCGACTCACCTTTCTTCAGCTTCTTTCATCCACGTCTCGAGGACCGGTTTTATTTTTTGCGCGCTCTTTGGCGTGATGTCCAACTTCTCGAATCTAGAGCCAACAACAAGTTATGGTTCTTGATCTTCGATTTCACGTCGGGGTGGGGGTGGGGGTGGGGGGGATCAAACACGTGAGGAAAGAAACGATTTTACAGCAAATACGTAAAGACTTTATAGACGCTGCCGTTACAATAATATTTCGTTCAATATTAACACCAAATGATAAAACTGGTCGATTTGATTCATGTACAGTGCGGAGGTGAGAAGTTGACTAGTGGCTTTGATTGGTCATTGTATAATTTAATTAAATTTTATGTTATTGTCACTGTGGAATTTTATAGCATAATCCAGAAGACTCACTGTCCAACCTCTCGTTTCCGCACAGTACTTCAAAATTCTTCTTAAAATGATATTTTGAGGATAAGTATGTTAATTATACCAACAGAAAATTAATTTGATCAATAAGTTTTAGTACTGTGCTATTCGACTCTAGATACATGAAACATTTCACAAAGCTTCTACCAATCAGACCCACTGTCCAACTTCAAATCATTCGATATTTTGGGATAATTATGTTAATCATACTAACAAAGAATTAATTGAATCATTAAATTTTAGCGTTAATACAGTGGTATTAAACTCTAGAGACACGAAACATTTAAAAAATCATTAAAAATTATCAAATTGCCCAAAACACCTGGCAACGACACGTCTTTACATTTTTGTTCGACTAAAGGAGCACTAAGAAGACATGCACTGACTCAAAAACAGGACATTGACAATGCGTGCATGCTGAAAGGTTTTGGTGATGCCGTGTATGATGACGCCAACGCGCTAGTCTGACAAATCGACTCGCTCAAGCGCAAAAAAAAACGGATGATCGACACTGATAAACGTTCGACACTCGACGAACAATCGAAAAAATTCATGCGATATGCTTCTCGGTATTTATTTATTTATTTATTTTTTCTCGCGCGTTGGCGACATCATGCCCAAGTTTGCCAATGCCCTGGCTCGAAGAAATAGCTCGTTAACTTTCGTAAAAAAGTGCTCCTTTTCTCATTTCCAAAAAGCGGAGTTAGAAATCAGCGAGAGTAATTGCAGCTATACCCAAAAATGTGCCCCAAAAAGTAATTGCGAATTCGGGGGTTCGAAAATGTCGGCTGGGGTTAGCGAAAGGGGATGAAAAGGCCAACAGACGTTGCACGAGAATAAAGGACACGTAGCGATACGAAAGAAGGAGGCTCATCCTGTCGAATCGAAGGACGACGATAATTTTAACTATCGTTCGACATCTAAAAATGTGTAAACGGTTACGTGAAAATCGCCGTAGGGGGCCGCTGCTCGCAGCATTCGTGACGACGATACGCACGACGACCAAACTGTTCGGATTCACATGCTTGGGTATAACTGCTATTCTTCCAGAGGACTTTGAAAATGTTTTAGACTTCTTAGGTGAAATTAAGTATTATGAGGGGTGAACGTACGTAGTAGCTTGCTGCTGAAAGGCAATCTGCGAGGCAGCGTACATCTCGGTAGCCAGGGCACTGGGGAACAATCACCAATGCTTAAATTAGTCGTTACAATAAGAATTCTAGGATGTAGAAACGTCGTTTCTATCTTGCCACCAGAATTTGCCACGGTGGTTCCTTCGAGTTCTTCACGAGAACGTGAAAAACGAGAAAAAAGAGAAAAGCACAACGTGCCGAGGGGAGAATTGATTTCTTCCCGTGAGCCAAAAAGTCCATTTTTTCTTTGTCAACAGTGTCTTGTAGACCATTGAGCAACAATGCGCAAAATTTTAAGTCGAAATTCGTGAAATTGAAGTTATAGTCAACGGCCTGTGACATTTGTATCTTTGAGAGGTGTCGATGCAATGCTGATAACGCTACCTATCGTTTCTAGGTTAGGTCAGCTTCGGCACAACTCGCATGTTTATTTGTTTGCATAGATAACAAGAGAAAAGTGAGACAATTTCATTAGTCGTAGATAGATTTGGTTAGGTTACGTATCATTAACACGTTCACGCTGGCGCTGCTGTTTGCGTTTCTCGCCATGGGGCGGCGCGGTGATACGCTCCATTTGAAAGACACGCGAGGGTGAGCCACCGGTGGTACACGCCGGTGTGAACGTGTTAAAGTGAGATCTTTGACCAATAAAGATCACGTTGTACACGGCAACACTTTCTACGCCCTTCTATGTATGAAATAACATTAAAAAGACCAGGAACTATTGACTCAAAAGACCAGAAATTATTGACACAGAACAGGGCTAAAAGCGTGTGTAAAATTTCGAATTAAAATCTTGCGTACATTCTGCACTAAAGAAAGTGCACGATTTTCAGAGCTTGAAAAAAGCAATTCCACTCCTAGGAGCGAGTCTCCATCGCGTTCAGGAACCATCGTGGCGGATTCGCGTTACACACTTTTCGTCTGGAGGACAAGTCACGTGAAAGTTCAACGTTCCGTCAGAATCTGTGCCCGACGAGCGCTGCGTCTCGATACGATCGACGAAGTGTGCAACATAGAGAGAGAACAAACAAACGGGGATAACTCGCGATAGCTAAAACTGTCGCGGTTCGAGCCGAGAGGGGCTCGCCCTTCGTTTCGAGAGACGTTCACATCGAATCTTTCAACATTGAAATTCCTCGAGATCCATCGCGATAAGCATACGTAATTTAGCTGCCGGAAACGAGGAAACGATTGGTACACGTTTTCCCGAAACGCCATTTCCAGTGACCTGGCACTCTGTCGTAGTCTTCAACAACTTCAGTTCTTATCAGCGACGTCCGTTTTGATTTTGTGAGGAAGATTAGACAATGGACACCGGCAAGAGTCACGTAAACGCTCACCTGCATATGGCACTTTGGCTGTAAGCTGGGCCCTCTGTCACGCTCAGGGCCTGGCCCACCTGGGTCTGCGTCAGACCCAGCGACAGTCTGCGCAGCTTGAACACCTTCGCGAACTCTTTAATCTCTTCCAGATTGATGCCGTCTACAACGTTGTTCGTGGCCTCGTTGATGGTCGGCTGATCTGCAATTTAAATTTCGAGAGTTCTCGATCAGCCTTTCGACGAACTTCCGAAACCCTCGGACAATGGTCGATATGGTCATTTAATTTGAGGAGATTTTTGTGTAGGTGGGAAATTTTGGTACCGAGATTTGCAGGAGATAATAATTTCTAGCTACTATTTTAATATGATGTGTTGTAAATATGTATTACTTGGTAATTATTTAATTTGGAATTTCTAGAGATATTTGTTCCAGGAGATACAGTCAGTCCCATAATTACTCCCTATATCTATTGAAAAAATTTAATTTAAATGACAGGTTTATGTTTCCAAATCAGTTTGTCATTGCAAATCTACATGAATATACTTC